GTTTTCTCCTTCATGGATCTGGCTCCGATGCCTGTAAGGGGTTTGAGGGGGGTAAACAAACCCCTGTGATGGGGCTCGGAAAGAGAAGAGGTTCCTTGTGCTTCCCGGGCCGGAGCCGCCTCTGCGGTGGGAGGAATTCCGGAGCGGCCGAGCTATAAATAACCCCCAACTGCTCCCAGCGCCTTCCCGAGGGGCTCTGCCAGTGCCCAGACCCCCTCCGGAGCTGCTCCCTGCTTCCTTTGGCCCTGGAGGGGTATTTATAGCCCGTGGCTCATCCCTTCCTGCTCCGGGAGGGGGGAGGATTCCAGGATTCCGCACGTGTGTGTGTTTGGGTCCGTGTGGGGAGGTGACTGAAATGGCCCCTGGAACAGTGGCCTCGCACTCTCCTGCCCTTTTATCGGAGAGGAAACCCTCTCCAGGGAAAAATCTGTGCTGGAACCCCCCAATCTGAGGGCAGGGGGGTGTCCTGTGCCCACCTGACCCCCAGGATAGTTGCCCTCTCCTGCCCTTTTATCGGAGAGGAAACCCTCTCCAGGGAAAAATCTGTGATGGAACCCCCCAATCTGAGGGCAGGGGGGTGTCCTGTGCCCACCTGACCCCCAGGATAGTTGCCCCCTCATCCCTCCCTGCTCGGGACCCCCGGAGCAGCTCCCGGCCCTGCCTGGGCTCCCTCCCCCCGCAGGGACTGGGATTATTATTTTTTTCCTGGATCTCCCATCACAGAGCCGAGGCTGAGGCGGGTGGGGGTGAGTCGTGCAGGGCTTTTTTAGGGAAATCAAACCACGTTGCAGATCCTCCCCCGGATCGGAGCTCCGCGAGAGCCGCAGCTCCGCACCGTGGTGCTCCTGGAGCATCCCTGGAGCCTCCCTGGAGCCCCCATCCCAAACCTCACAGAGGGCTCCTGCATCCCTGGAACCTCCCCGGAGCCCCCAGCCCCAAAGCTTGCTCGTGGCTCTGTGTCCCTGTCCCTGGAACCCCCTGGGATGGGGTTGGATGGGATGGGACGGGACAGGGTGGGATGGGATGGGGGCAGACCCCAGCCCCAAATCCTGCTCATGGGCTTCACATCTCTGGAACTTCTTGGATTGAAACAGGAGCAGCCCCTCGGCCCAAAACCCTCACTTGTGTCCCTGGAGCACCCCTTGGGGTGGGAAGGGGACCAGCCCCCAGCCCCAAACCTCACCCATGGCTCCTGCATCCCCGGAACTCCCCGGGGTGGGATGAGGGCAGCTCCCATTCCCAAACTTGTACTCGTGATTCTGTGTCCCTGGAAGGCCCTGGGGTGGGATGGGGCCAGTCCCCAGCCCTGTGCCAGCCCCGTTGTGTCCCTGCAGGGTCGGCTGCCGCGGTACCTGATCCACCAGAGCCTGGCTGCCACCATGTTCGAGTTCGCCTTCCACCTGCGCCAGCGCATGGCCGAGCTCTGCTCCAAGCCCTGAGGACATTCCACAGCCCTCTCTGCTCCAGAGGGGGGGACAGGACCCTACACCCCCTCCCCAGGGAGAGGACCCCCTGCTGCCAGCACTGGGCTGACCCCGGGCAGGGGGCTCAGCTCCTCCTGCCCCCTCGTTGGAGCCCTGGAACCACTGACTGTTATGTGCCAAACCCCTGCTCTGCCCTTCTCTGGGGCTGGGATGACCCCCCCCTGCCCCACACAGGGCAGGTGTGACCCCCCCCACCCCACACAGGGGGTGGGAGCTCAGCTGTGACCCCCAAATTCCTGTCCTTGC